CACATATAAGAGAGATCATATGGTATTTGTCTTTCTCCGACTGACTTATTTCACTTAGCATAATGTTCTCTAGGTCCATCCATATTGTTGTAATAGTTCAGTCTTTTTAATTGTGGAGTGATATTCCATTGTATTGGAATAACATCCATTGTATTAAGCATGTGAGGACACCCAGGGGAATCTTCCTCTCAGAAATGGCTTTGAGGATATAGGAAAATCTTTTTAAGAACATGGGATTTTCTGAAGCCTTTTTATTTAGCCTTTCTATTTTTAAAAATACTTTGACCCAGCCATGACAATTGACATAGCTTTATCAACACAGATGCTCACTAAATTAGGCAGCCTCTAAAATAACTCAAGCCATGGGCAAGTCAGAATTTTAATATATATGGAAATTCTATTCTTAGTATTAGTACTTTACCACTCAGGTGGCTATTCTTAGTCTTCTGTGTAGTCCTTTAAAGCCCATTTGGAACTTACTGAGACTTATTTTGTGGCTTTGCATACGTGGCCTATCATGGTGAATGTAACATGTGGATTTGAAAAGAATGTATATCTGCATTTGAGTGTTTTGTTCTATAAATTAAATTAGGTCAAGATAGTTGATGGTGTTGTTCAAATCTTCTATATTATTACTGGATTTTTTTCCCTACCTTGTGTACCATTCCAAAAGAATGTTGAAAAAGAGGAACAAATGACAGATGGAACAAACAGAAAAAAAAATGGCAGGACAGTAAACTTAAATCTAACCATATCATCATTTAGATTAAATACGAATGGACTTAATTCATGTAATTCTCCCTCAATTGTGTTGTTTTTTGCCTCATGTATTTGGAAGCTCTGTTATTAGTTGCAAAAAAAAGTTGTAATTGTGATGACTTGACTTCCTGGTGAATTGACTCTTAGTATTATAAAATATCTCTCTTTCCAGTAACATTTCTTGATTGGCAGCCATTTTTCTTATATTAATATAATCACTCCTGCTTTCCTAGGCTTACTATGTGCATGGCATCTCATTTTTCACTTTATATTTTTTATTAATAGCATATAGTTGGATCTGTTTTTTTTTGAAACCAGTCTGACTTTTAATAGTGTTTATTTCACTTATATTTAATGTAATTATACCATTGAGTTTAAAACTACCATCTTTCCATTTTATTTCTGTTTATCCCATCTGTCCATTGTTCACGATTATTGCCTTCTTCCAGATTAATTGCGGTTTTTATTAGTATTCCATTTCATCATCCTAATAGGTTTTCTATTTATATCTCTTTATTTTATAGTTTTAATGGATTACATTATATATTCTTAACTTACAACAGTCTCTCATGAATTCGTATTAAACGTCTTTGTATATAATGTAAGAACTGTACCCCTTCTATCCTTTGAATCAATAAGATTGTGATTTTCTTCACAAGTCCTAGTAACTCTGCATCACAGGGACTGAGAAGTGTCCACAGGTGAAAAGATGTATAAACATGAATCTCACTCATATGGTTCCCTTTAGTCAAGATTGAATTCCCTCCAGTTTTTACCTGCTTTTGTGGCTCTCTAATTTCTTCAAAATTGTCTTTATGTAGTGTTTTATGTTGCTATTTGTGGGACAATTTATCCTATAAAATATATTCTGCCATTATCAGAAATGGAATTCCGATTTTGTCATTTTAAATAATGCAGTAAGCATGTCTGAATTCATTACCTAACTCAAAAACTTGACATTGACATTCATTTACCCATGTAACTCTTTTTTTCAGCCTGTCCCCCTATGTCCCTGGTTTGAGGTAGCCATCGTTCTAAATTTCATGTTATCATTCCTTTTTTAATTTCTGCGTATGCTTACACTGAGTCTATATGTATTTCATATGTTTATTTGTATTTAATTATTTTTAATTTTATAAAACATCTTGCTGAATTGACCAGAGACTTATTCTTTTATTTGCTATTATGCTGCATAGATTTGTTCAGACTACACATACATTGCTTTAGTTTTGACAACTGTATGTAATTCCATTGTGTGAATATACCAGTTTATTCATCTGTTTTCATATTGATGGGCATTTGGGTCATTTCCACATTTTTGTCCTTGTGAAAAGTCCTACTGTGAACATCCGTGTATTGCTCCTGGTTATATACTTTGGAGTAAATAATGCTAGATTAAAAATGAATATGAATGTTTAATTTTAGCCCATTTTACATTCCCACCACCATTCTAGAAGGGATTCTATGAATCCACATCCACTATGATACTTGGTAGTGTTACAATTTTTTTTTCCCAACTGACTGAATATGAAACAGTATCACATTGTTGTATTAAATTCCTTGGTTATTAATACATTAAGCATCTCTTCACATTTTTATTGGTTAAAAGTGTTTCTTCTTCTGTTATATGTCTGTTAATGCCATTACCCATCCCATATTTTATCGATTCATAGGAGCTCTATATTTGGAATATCATTGAACTTGACCACAAGAGATCTTTGGCCTTTGAATTCGTCATTCTCCCCGATTTCCCCATTTAATTTGCAAACCCTTCCAAACTCCTGACCCCCCTTGTCCTCCATTTTTAAACCCTAACCACCTACCAGCTTTGCCATATTTCATACATATTTATTGTTCTTACTGTGTTCTCTTTACAGTTACATGTAGGCTGTTACATGATAAGTATAGAGATCAAGAGTAAGCATTTATAAACTTATAACAATATAATATTGTCATCATATTTCTATGATAGTAGACAAAGGATTGATCTCTGAAGAATTAGAATTTTTTTTAAAAACAGGTTTTCACCACTTTGAAAAGCATGGCCTACGTTCTTATATCTCTAGCTATACCATAGCATTTGAAAGCCTCTATGAACAGAACAGTGAAGAAATTGATAACTACTTGTTATAGTTGAAAGTGTTCATGCTCTATACAAAATATAATTGCTACCAAAGGCAAATACAGTAATACCTTGGTTTGTGAGCCTAATTCGTTCCGGAAAGAAGCTACTCATATTGCAGGACATCTCTTGTTTACTATGTTAAAATGTACTTGGTTTGCGAGCATAATTTGTTCCAGAAACAAACGACTCGTATTGCGAGACATCGCTCGTTTACCAAGTTAAAATGTATTAGAAATGTTTGCTCATCTTGCAGAACACTCGTAAACTACAATACTCACAATCCAAGGTTTTACTGCATTTGTTTTTCTGATTTAGTGAGGCAATGAGAGTTTTTTCAAGGTATCGCTTTCTTTTGTTAGTATTCCCCATGTTTCTATGTTTATAGCTGAGCCTGACATGACTTGTATTCATCTTTTGTTTTCAGTATATATTGAGTATCACAATTTTAATATAGTTTTTTCCTTTCTTAAAATGTGTATACGTTTTTTTTTGGCACCGTGTGTGTGTGTGTGTGTGTGTGTGTGTGTGTGTGTGTCTCATAATATCTAGAGCTCTTTGAAGTTCAACTTTTAAAATGAAAGGGAATGCAAGCCACTTAATTATATGAAAGTCAACGACTGTATGCTACTTTTCTTAATCCTTTATGTTTGCAATTTTTATGTTTTAAGTTTTCCACCTGAAGCATGATTATTAAATTGATGCCCCACCTCTCTGAACTGTGCACTAGCTAAATGTGCAAGTAAATTTTTGAGAACTGCCTAGGTTTATAACCTCACTTGTTAACCCTCTGATGTCTGGGTGACTGTAAACACTTTCCTTGGGAATTTTTGTGCTGTAGGATTTCCACATAACACTGTAGTGATAGTTTATACTTCCTGAAGTGAGTAAAGTTCTGGCAAATCTTTAGATGCAGTCTATAAAAACTATAAAATCAAAGTAATATTTCACAATGATTAAATGGCATTTTATTGGAACGAATATCCAGTAGAGAACTGATCCAAGAAGCTGTTTATCAGAATTGTAAATATGTTTGTAAAAATAAAGTGATAAGTGAAATCTGGCTGCTTGGAAACAGAGGGCAAAGGTTTCTGTTAAACAGCGTAATCGTTATTTCCCATGTTATTTGCTACACAACAGCATCTGCAAAGTAGCAAGAGCCTCCCTTAGGCCTGTTGGGAGAATTTATATGAATGCTTCGTCAGGTTCCTGAAATGCATTAAATAATATTGAAAAGCACATAATTTGACTTTTTCCTGTTAATGACCAAATTTTTTGCAAGGATAATTTCGATTTTTTAACAGGCAAAAGAGTGAGTAGATTTTGACACAATTTCAGTATAAACCTATCTTTCAGATAGGATCAAATAAACAGAAATTCAATATTATAGTGGCAATAAGACAGATGTAGGTTAAAAACTGTTTTGCTTTACTTGCTATGTTTCCATGCAAAAATCAACACACATATTTGGTCTCAATTATAAAATGGAAATGAATTTATCCATTTTATAGGGTTGTTGTTATGATTAAGGATTATAGATAGTTTGTGTAAATATATAGGGACCACTGGAGGCATTCAGTACATGGTTACTACTGTTACACTGTAAAATAACAGATTTGTGTGTGTTTAGTATATATGTTCATGAACCATTTTCTTAGGCAAGTCTTATGATAATTTTCTATATAGAAAAAATAAAAAAGCAAAATTAAAAGAGCAGAGACTGGGTAAGGCTGGTGCAGGGAGAAAGAAGTCTTGTCTACCCAGCATGCCTCATGACCCTCAGCAAGGTTCCACAGCCATCCCCGATGCCTTTCACAGGGACTGAGAGCTTTACAGAGTACAGCATGGAAACCGTTCCACTGGATTTTAAACACCTTGAGTGCAAGAACTGAATCTTACTTATTTTATTAACTGACACAGGTATAGCATATGGTCATGCTGTACAGTAGATGATTATTGGCCACACTTGTTAAATGCTTCAGTTAATTCAGCTCTGCTACTTCAGAAACTCCCCATATTTGCCTGCTAGGTGGAATTATCATTTGAAATTGAATGAGCAAACCTGCCAGGAAGCGTGTATCATTTAGAGGATGTAATGATGATATCATTATTTTTTCAGATCTAGGTTGGAATTTGCCCTTGACAAATATCAAAATGATGAGTGACGCAAGTGACATGTTGGCTGCAGCGTTGGAGCAAATGGATGGTATTATAGCAGGTAATCTGCATCCTCTAAAAAAATGGAATCATGCCATTTATTCTGCTCTCTTGGCTTTTTCATTGTAATTCTTTTATTACCTTTCCACTTTGTTATTTTCATTTATTGTCTCTCTCCACTGATACTCTCTCTAGGGTATCATATTTGTCCCTCTTCTTCATTTTCTACCAGAATTATTCTTAAATTTTATTTTAAAATGTCAAGAATTTCAGTACCATCCTAGGCTTCTGATCAAGGATAAAGAATCTGTTTTCCGGGTGACTTGGGTGCTGGCCGTCTGTGGACCACACTTGGAGGGATACTGCTCTACCCAGTATCCATGAATGTTCTGATATGTTCCCTTGAAGTTAACACTTTTCTGCCAATGACTCTTACATCCAATTACTTTTCCAATTCTTTGCTAAGCTTCAAGTCCCTATCTCTAATTGCCAATCAGATATCTCCCCTGAAATGTCTTGTATAGACACATCAGTGTCATTATTTAAAAAATTGAGTTCATTATGTTTCCCCCGAAACCCTTCTAGTAGTCTTCGGCTAATTTCATAGCCCTTCATCCACACAGTTTCCTAAATAGAAGTTTAAGTCGTTCTACGCACTTTTGTCCCTCATGTTCCCCAACTTAGTTAATCAGTTCTATCCATTTGCCCTCTTACCAAATTCTACCATTCCCTTTTTTCCCTCTCTAAAATCTGTCCTGTCCTGCTTTATCTAAGTAACACTCTTACTGATGTTCCTGACACTCTTGCTTTCCTGCTCTAGTCCGTCTTTCTCTAAACCACCAGAATCTCCTTTCTAAAACACAGTCTGATCCTGTTACTTCCTTGTTAAGAATCTTCAGCAATTCTCTATTATGGGAGCTGAGCAAAAGCAGCAGACCTTTGCCTCCTTGTTTTCTCATCATGGCTAAGGGGACCGACTCGTAGGCGAACTCTTTCACTCCCATGCAGCCTCCCAAAAGTGATGGCTCCCTAAGGTCTCGTGTCACATTTTGTATTTTGCCCTTTCTGTATTTAGGAACCCATTACAATGGGAAGAGGTTGAATGGGCTATTGCGTGGGGTTGTACCTGATGAGCAGGGTCAGGATACAGTTGGCCTCTACTGCTCCTGGATTCTAGTTGTCGTGCCTCAGCTGCTTATCTTTTCTTGTCATAAATTTGATCCTACTCTGTTTGGGTGGTTTCAAGAAACCAAAAGTGTTTTCCTTTTCAGAAGGTTCTCTTTTTGAGGGAAGTGGCATGTCATGGTTTGGCGTCCTTTGTTATACTTATATGTCCTGGAGATCCGACTTCAATTTGACCTCCTTTGTAGATAAGACCATACCTTAGAGGTACTGTATTCAGTTCTTGGCATATCATTTTCAAAGGGTAATTGGAATACTGAAACTTATCTAGAGGAGGTTAGTATGAAGGCAAAGCATTTTAACCACCACATCCGATAAGGAATTGGTTACATTTAACCTAGAAAAGTGTATTGTTGCTCGGGGCATGATATGTGCTTTCCAGTAGTTGAAGGACTATTGTGTGGGAAAGAGATTGTATTTGCCCTGTCAGAATTTCAGAAAACATAACTAGAACCAATTGTAGGCTCTTACCAGAGGTTTGAACCTTACACTTATAGTGAAACTGCTGACCAGAGAAGTGCTATTTCTGCAACAGGAGTTGAAGGATTTACATTTTATATATTCCACTAGATCGGTGTATTTGTTCCTGTCAACATTAGAGTTATTAAGAAAATCAAGATTCCTCAGGTCCCACCTCAAACTAAGTCAGTCAATAGCATTGTGGGTAGGATCTGGATTTATGTTTTCAAATTAACATCTGTTAATACCTCCAACTGAGGTGAGAGAGAGGAGGAGAAATGACTACAAACATTTAGGGAATTTTTCTAAATACACACCTCTCCCTTATCCTCACTTTGTTTTGTGACAGAGACTTAACAGAATAGAGGGTTATCATAGGCTCGTGTATTTTTAGTAATATCATCCAGCGATCCTAATGCTTAAAACTGATGGAATAGGACATTTGACCTTGTCTGGTTTTCAATGCTCTTCTGTCCCTCCCTCCCCCTGACATATTCTCCTCAATGTATATTTTTCTGCGTTCTCATCTCAGCTTTACAGGGTTCCTGAGGGGATTGATTATGAGGGTTTTGTGAAGCATTTAGTTAGCCTTGTGCCTAATATATCAGTGGTTGCCATTATTCGAGTTTGGCAGATTTTGGTCCAGATCATTTGGCCCAGTGTTAGGAAGATCAATGGAATGGATTAGCTGAAAGGGAGTTTCTCTCCCCATTGTTAGCGCTGATCAAGTCAGATGGCCAACTGGAGAGAGAACTTACACATTGTTTCACAGGTCTCACCCAATTGTAAAACCTTCAGATTTATGAGGTGATAGCCTAAATATCATAATTATTGTTAAGTATAAAGTCAGTATTTATATTTGATAGTATGCATATTTGACAGACCAAAAAAACAAATCTAAGAGATGAAGAGATATATATGAATGCTTTCAGAATGGGCTGTGGGTCACTTATGTGGATTGAAGTAGCAGAATGTTTTCTCAGTAATAGAAAACAAAAAAGGCTGTAAAACTGTTTTTTAAAGCTAAAATTAGCAAGAGAATTTGATGCTAGGCTGCAAACAATCACGGGGAAAATGTTTACATACACATGCCCGTACATACTCGTACATATACAAATATGAATATGCACATGTAATTGTTGAACTTCTTCAGAGATTAAATTCTGGCAAGTTAACTGGGAGCTTGCCCTCTTACCTTTGAAATTATGCTATGCAATTTCCACCTCATTGCGTAACTTATTTATAGGTAATTTAAAGACTTTACGGGCCCTAAAATTTGTGTTTTTTGGAATGCATGGCTCCCCACAAACTGATGTGCTACCTTCTTATCCCTTATTTCTATGAGGTCAGCACATCTTATACCAAAGCCCGCTATACTCTTACTGTATCACACAGTTGGCCTCCCTGTTAGGTATTTGACCACTGATATTTACTGTCAATTATATAGTTTGAATTTTTGCACCAGATAACTATGCCTCGGAGAGATTTCCACGATTGAATTATCTTTCTGTTTCTTATTTTGGTTATTGCTCACTGTGACTGGACTTGCTTGCCACCTTCAGCTTTGGTTTGTTATCGAATATAAATTCAGTTGCTTTCTCTGTGATTTTCTTGTTTTTAAACCTAGGCTCTAAGGCCCTGGAATATTCCAATGGGATTTTTGACTGCCAGTCTCCCACTTCCCCATTCATGGGAAGCTTGCGAGCTCTGCACCTTGTGGAAGACCTGCGTGGATTGTTGGAGATGATGGAAACCGATGAGAAGGAAGGCTTGAGATGCCAGATCCCAGATTCAACAGCAGAAACGCTCATCGAATGGCTTCAGAGTCAAATGGTAGATGTCTGCATGTTTCCAATCCCATGCTGTGAATCTTTTTGCTGCTTATTCCAAAATTTAGAAAATAGGATAGCCAATTAGAACAAGAATAAAAATTATAGGGCAACAGGTTTGCCCTTAAGAGATCCCAATTCTATTTTGACTCTAAGGGTAATTTTTTAAAAAGTGCTGTTAGTGTACATACATTTCATGAGTGCCAGCAGGTCACCTGATTATTGCTACAGTCCTGGGCTAGCTTTTAGATTGTACCTGAATGACCTATTGTGGCTTAGAACACATAGTCCAGTAAGAGAAAAAACCTTGCACATAACAGATGCTCTCCCAGTAATATTGGGCAGTTTACTGTAAAAAGCTATTCTAAATAGGCAGTACAGTGAATAGATAACCTCAAAAAGCAACGGAGGTTTGTAGCAATATTTGATATGAAGTGCCATCTAGTGGTTTGTGGCAGTTATTTCAATTTCAGAGTGTGAGTCAAGTTGTGGAGTTGGGTTTTAAATGATGTTCTTAGTCACTGAACAATGAGATCTCTTTCTAGGCATCCTTCTCAAAAATTGATGCTATGGCAGATTTGCCCTTTCCCTGAACACATTGATAAATACCATGGTTTTAATAATGTGTCAAACACATAAAATCAGAATATCACAAAAACATATCCAAAGGGAAGATAGAAAAAGTATTATTTTGTAAGTATTTAAAGGAAGTTACATTAATAAGCTTATGAATTAATTGTGTTTATATAAAAGCTAATGAAAATTGTATGAAAGAATTAAGATCTATTTTTAGATCTGTGGTAGAAATGGAATAAGCTGTTTTCTTTGGGAACCGTAATCTACATCCTACAGCTAAAACTTGTTCACATGATGTGACACAAAATACTGGTGCCACCAACCAGTGCCATGTTGAGTGTCCTTATGTCTCCAGCCAAGGTGCTTCCCCCTTTCTGAGTGCAAATAGTACAGTCATGTTTTAGTGGTGGTGCAGCTACACAACCTTGACAGAGCTAGTTTATTTTTTTGTAATACATGATGCCTTGTTATTATACTTTATATTTGTTCTGCAGGTTTCTCCTCCAGAGATTTAAGTATCCAGCTTTGCTGATTTCTTTGGGGAATTGCTTCATGCTCTAAAATTAGATGTTTCCTGGAATATTCCTTAGGCTATGTCTACTTCCTGTCTCACCCCTTCTTTACCCTAGATTTTTCTGATTATTCGGCATATAATAGGAAAGGCATTTACTAGTGGGAGAAAAACCTATTCCTGGCCCACATTTAAGCCAGTGGCAGCCATAGCTTAAAGGTACCTATGCTTGAATTTTTAACTTGCGTCCAAAAACAAGTGTTGTCCGAAACAAAGTCTTGTGTCCAAACATTTCTGTTAACGCATACTCAATCTGTCCTGTTAACGTCTTTCTGGAAAAGAGTAAAAATGATGATGATGATACCTGAATAAATTGTATCATATCATCCACTCCTTTTTTAGAAACTTCCAATGACTGTTCACTTCTAGCTCAGAGTAAAAGCCAAATGCTGAGTCTGGATTGCAAGGCCTTATAGGACCCGCTCCTCATTATTTTTACACTTCCCCTCTTTCATTCCACTCTGGGCACATTGGCTTCCTCACTGATGCTCAGACATGCTGGGCAAACCGGGCTCAGGCCTTTGGACTGGCTGTTTACTCTGCCCGAAAAACTCTCCCCAGATGTCTGTATGGCTACTTTTCTCATAGTCTCCTGGTACTTACTTAAATGTTATGCTTTCAATGAGGCTTTCCCTGGCCACTATATCTAAAATTTCACATATTCATTCTTTGCGTTACATTTCCCTGCTTTGTTTTTTTTCTTAGCACTCACCACTTAGGTCCTATGGATGTGCCATATTTATATCATTTATTTTCTGTCCCTCCAACTGGAATGTAAACATCATGCATCAGAGAATTTTTTCTGTATTAAAAAAAAATCTATATCTGTGGTGCCTAGAATGACACCTGGCATATAGTAGGTGCACAATAAGTATATTTGTAATAAAGGATGCTCCTTGAATGATAAAATGGAGTGCCCATTTGAATGAACTAAGATTGTTTGTCGTGTTAAATTTATTCCTTGAATGCATAATGGCCTGTTAATTTGTATTTTGGGTTGCTTTCTGTCTTAATATTTGACTTTTTTATGTTAAATATCCACAAATGACAAATACTTTACACAACTTATGAATAGTCAGTTTTTATCCTAAAACAGTTAAAAAATAAACTAGAGGTGGATCCAGCAAGGTAAATTTTTTCAGTTAAACTTATTTATATTTATCCAATTTACTTCTATCTATTCCCTTATCTTGACCCCAATCCTCTGAAATTACATGTATTTGCTCAAGCACACAGAAAATGAAAGAATAAAGAAGAAAGATGGCAAAGCGCGATACCCAAATAGAGAAGAGGAGAGCTGGAATGAGTGTTTGGATGAATTAGGGCATAAGTATGAAATGAGTAGTCACAGCGTTAAGCCTGTGGTAGACTTTACTTTTAGAACCAAAAGGGAATTGAGACAGCTCTGAGAATCCAACAGGTAGAGAGGGTCTTAGGCTTACGATTTAATGATTTGCTGATAATATTAGATTCCTCCCACTTTAATATGTCAGAAGTTGCATTGTGTTTTGTGATCTTAAAAGTGGGATATGTACACATTTTAGCTGGAATTGTTTCTTTTTTCTTTCCTTTTTTTTTAACTAATAAGTTACACAGTGTAGTCAATAAATTCATAGGGACAGAAAGTAGAATAGTTGCCATGGACTGGGGGGAGGGAAGAATGGAGAGTTAATATTTAATGGGTACAGAATTTCAGATTTGCAAGATGAAAAAGAGTTCTGTAGATGGATGATGAAGATGGTTGCACACCAGTGTGAATATACTTAACACTACTGAACTGTGCACTTAAAAATGATTAAAATGATAAATGTTACATGTGTGTCTTACCACAGTAAAACATTAATAGTGTGATAAAAATTGATGGCATCTTAGAATTGAAGGAACACAGAATCTTAGCAAATTCCCCCTTTGTATTGTACATGGGGAAATTGCCAAAATAACAAATTAAGAAGGTCCTGTTGTAAAAAAGCAGCGAAGGCTAAAGAAGGCAGGATTATATCTTGGCAGTTACAGATGCAGACTCTGGAGACAGCAGACCTGAATTTTGATGTTGGCTCTGACTCTTTGAAGCTTGTATAATTTGGGGGAAATTTCTTAAGTCGTCTGTCTAGGTTTCCTCGTCTGTAAAATGGGGATGATGGTTTCTGTCACACAAGACTGTGAATACCCCATAAACTAACATATGTTGAATGCTTATCAGTAAGCCTGGTGGATGACTAGTCAAAAAGGTAATACTGAAGTGTGGGTTATAGAGAGTAGAGGGAAAACGTTGAACAGGACCCCTTTGCCTTGAGTAAAAGAAAGGGTTGGGTCCATTTCCAAGAGGAGTTAGGTTACAAATTACTCATACATAGTTCACTGTTTTGACAAAAAAAGTACAGTCATGTCTCAGATTGTGAAGAACCTTCCGTAATATTTTAGAAAAGCTTATTAATGAATGATACTAGTTACATAATTAAGATTTCATTCATGTTTAGTGATGACCAATTTGAGAGTCCATGTACTTGCGATTGATACTAATCTTCTCATTAGTACAACTGGGCATTTGCAGTTCTGTTGGGTTGTCAGAAAAGTCATGACACATTTTTGCAATGAAAAACATAGAAAAATATGTCATGACTTTTCCGACAACCCGATAATTATTATTTTGCCCGGGCTAGGGATAATCCCGTGGTTTCCTGTAGGATGTAAGTTATTCCTTCACTACTAATTTCTGCTGCCCGTGTAATGTTTTCATATGATCAGAGGCTGGATAAGAAAAAAGAAAATAGTAATACTAGTAGCCATTACAGTGAAGGGGTATTCAACCTACAAGAATGAGTTTGTTTTAATAGGGTAGCTATACCTGGAACCTTCTAGAAATGAACAAGTATTTTTTAAGTCTCAGGCGTTTAACACAAATATTAACTATGGAGAAACATGTGCTTTAGCAAGCTCTGAGTTGAAGAGGGCAAATAGAGAAATGCATCCCTTTGAGACAAGCAAGTAGCTTTTGCTTCCTGGAGGTCTAACTTGATGACTTTTTTCACTAGACCAAGCTGATGGTTGTGACCTGAATCAGGTCATGAAATCCCAAAGTGTGTGATTATTTGGCAGTTTTAATTGTGAGGCAATCTCAAAATTAACAGATATTACAAAAATACGGTTTTCAACAGAGTGAGTGAAAATACTGATGATGATAACGCCAAATCAGACATCATCACCCATGAAATACATAGAGTATAAATGGGGTAAATGAAGTGTTCTTGGCTGGCTTCTGAACCTGTTAAATCACCAAAATAATTTCTATCTTATGTCTATGTTAAAAAATAGGTATTTATTCAAAATAGCTTTAAAAAGCATTTTTGTAAAAATAAAAATATTCATCATTTCAAGAGTTCAGACGTGGGGCATGTGTTCTCCCCAGGGCTGTTGGCTGTTCTCCCAAGTCCCTGACTCGCAGCCACACAATCCATCCCCAGCATCCGCTGATCCCTGCTGCTCTCTGACCAACTTCTCTTTTCATGTATGCCTCCAGGGAATGTGTTTTCAAGTCTCGGCAAACAAGGTACATCTTAAGATTGTCTCCCATGTGTGGTCATAGTTATCTGAGTTATGCAGCATGTCACTAGACATCCTGGCTAAAGTTAAAGCTGTTGTCTCCTTCGGCTTCTGGTAGACCTCTATGAAAAGTATCCACAGGCACAGGAAAACAAATGGACCAGGTCAGTAGAATTCTCAACTGAGAGAGGCCTGTGCAGTGTGATAAGCGAGAGATGCGCTTTTCATGAAATCCCCTGGCTACCGCTATTTGTTTGGATTGAGTAGAAAGAGAGTTCTCTGCTTTTATGAAAGTGAGTTAAGAACGAATAAGTGGCAAGAAAAATAGGGATAGCTTTTTTTGTTGCTCTCATGTTACCTTTCCAAAGTAGAAGAGAGATTCTTTTGCGATATCTACATCCTGTCACACAGCTGGCTTTCAGTAAACATTGAATAAATGAATGAATAATGGGTGAATGAATGTATGGTATGCTACTGCAGTAGGAGCTGGGCTTTAGCTTCTAGGACCCTTCTAATAATGTATCCTCCTGTAAATTGGAGAACTCAGGAGTGTACCTGTGACCAGGATAATGTAGTCTCAGCATGTACCCCTCTCCCCCACTGTAGAAGCTTTGGGAAGCATGGTAATGTGCGTGTAAATAAGGCAAGGAGGAGTTAGAGCCCATCTTCCCTATTCAAGTCACGTGTCTAAAAGCACCCTTCGGGAGGCCCTAAAGCTGCAGTTCTCAACCTGTGGGTCGTGACCCCTTTGGGGGTCGAATGACCCTTTCACAGGGGTTGCCTAAGACCATTGGAAAACAAAAAGATATTTACATGACGATTCATAACAGTAGCAAATTACAGTTATAGAGTAGCAGCGAAAATAATTTTATGGTTGGGGGTCACCACAACATGAGGAACAGTATTAAGGGGTTGCAGCATTAGGAAGGTTGAGAACCGCTGCCCTAAAGGAATCTGTCCAACTCACCCTGTGCGTGTTGACAGTGGATGCGCATGGACAAATGAGTGGGTGTGTGCATGCGAGCTTTGCCTGTGACCTCACTGAGCAGAAAACTTTTTTTCCTACCTTGTTGAGAGCCCGCTTGACAGCCGGGGCCCACCTGGATGATCAGGCCATGAACTCACCGAACAGGTCCCTGAGCAGGATTGATAGGCGCAAGGAAATGAGAAAAGAAAGAGATGGCATAGACACCAAAGTCGGGATTAGGAGGTTCACTAACTGCTGATGGCAGGTAGTGAGTGACAGCGTTTATTAAAAGGCATATTGCTTATATAGAAAGCAAGTTCCTTTTTTACCAGGAATAAATCTTAGCTAAGCATAGGGGATTTGGTAGGGGGTTTTGGGGAATGAGGAGCCAATGTTCCTGACTTAGGGGTTTGGAGATGAGATAATCTCTTGGCAATAAGTTACATGATTACATAGCATAGGCTAATAATATATTTTAAGTAAAGTGAAACTGAGGCAAATAGCAACTGTCAGCAAGTCCATGATGGAAAAGTCCCGAAGTTCATAAATCCAAGGTAGAAAGTCTCAAAGTTCATAAGTCCATAGACAGTGACATCTGAGGGTCTGGAGGTTGTGATTTAGGAACTTCTGCTTTTCCATGGCACAGGAGATGAGCTGGGCGTTGCTGGGTTACTGTTTTAGCAGTTCCCCTTTTGCTGTTCAGGTAACACGCAGTTTTGCAGTCTTTTTTTCTCAGCACACAGAACATGGGGGTCTGTAGCCACCTGCAGTCAGCCCAGGGTCTCATTATTCTGAGACGGCTCCCAACACTAGCTCATGAAATGGATTTGTTTATAAAACGTGTGTGGGGGGTTTTAAAAGCCCGTGCCTCCTGACGTCCTTCATCAAAACGAGGCATTTAAAGCTGTGTAGGGCCAGTCTCAGCACTTTCTTCAATTAAGAACATGCGTTATGCATCCTAGCTTTTGTCCAAAAAAACAATCCTCAAGAGGTTGCATAAATTTCATTTTCATGGTTGTTCCCAGGGATGGCAGTCGTCCAGGCCACTCTATCAGACTCCTTATAATACTTGTCATTTAATTCTGGGTATTTCAGTTTACAGTAGGAAGATAGTACAGTAAAACCTTGGATTGTGAGTAACTTGGTTTGCAAGCATTCCTCAAGACGAGCAAGCATTTCTAATACATTTTAACGTGGTAAATGAGTGATGTCTTGCGATACCAGTAGTTTGTTTCCTGAACGAATTACGCTTGCAAACCAAGGTATTACTGTATATGCTGTGGGAGCAGTGCAGGTATGTAGTCAAACAGCTGATGTTAATTTTATCCACTCTAAATTCACATTGCATGCTTACTAAATTAGCTTCTGATGCTTTTGTGGCCTCATGGGTAATATATCCAGTGTGCATAGGTTTTTAGAAGAAGCGTCCTGAAATTTTCTTTTTTTGTTAATGTTCCTTTTTATGTTGTTTCCCCCCCCCTTCCTAACACATGACTTTTATTATTCTCAGAATTTAGAGTAGAAACTGCATGAGTTGGCAAGGTAGAATAATAATGCCAGTTAATCCTGGAAAAATAATAGATCTCACTTGAAATGTGTGCTTGGCGGTAAGGATGTACAGTTTGTATTTTCTCTGATTCTAAATCCGAAGTTGTTATTTGATTTTTCAGTTGAACTCTGGATGGACCCATCTAGCCATCTTGGATTCTACTGGCTTTTATTTCTGTTGCATTTGAATGAGAAATGAGGAAATCCTATTGAGATCACATGTTATATGGTTACGAGCTATTTAAATGAGATAACAGGGACATATCACATGTACTACAATATTTCAAAATGACGTTTTTATGTGGTCTGCTCTCTGTAAGCCTTTTCATGTGTCTCCTTAATGACTTGAATTTATAAGACGACTGAGGAAAAAAATCTAACTTGCTTTCCCAATTTATACTTCTTTTGGCATTTATAGCATTCGTAAATATACCCAGATCTTATAAAAAGCCGGGGGTGGAGGGAGAGTGTCACGAGGGATGGGAAGGAAGAGAGAGCACTGAGCCGGATGCTGTGGAGGTTACAAGATGTTACCTGTTTACAAGCTCTTCCCAGGAGTGTGGCATAATGTTATATGAACCAGCAAACTCACAAGAAATTAGTGAACTCAGGACAGAAGGTCATAAATTGCCAATGCACGTGGCTAAGCAGTGCTGCCGGGGGAAGTCACTGCAGACTGAGAGCTTAAGCTTTGCGGGGAAGAGAGAAAGCCTTCAAAGAGGAAGGGAAGATTTATTCCATGATTTGGAGACTTAAGTACCAAGAAGAAGCCTGTGGTGTAAGTTGCCCCTGTCGTCTCCCATTTGCAGTCCTGGATTTGGGACTTTGGGAGGAGAGGGGAGGAACGAAAGGGCATCCCACTGTCCTATCCAGAATAAGGGGCACTGAGCATTCAAGGGAAAAATAGGGTTTTGTGCCCAACCACGCATGTGCAAAGCTTTGCATACCCCAGGTATGCATCCACCGTCTGTGAATATCAGCAGGCACTGTTCCTTTTGGGTCATTATTTTCTGCTTGATGAGAAGTTGTTTAGTTTGGTGAAAACATGCCTACATGCCTAACGTGCCTGTCTTACCTATTTTGAAGTAGAAAAACCAAGTTGCCTTCTCATATTTTCTATTAATGGCATTACTAGCTGTACTGAATTCAGTTCCGTTCGTTGCCTTGGATTAAAAGCAGATGCAATGTTGTATTTATCCACAGTAGTTCCATTTTAAAGAGGGTCGTCAGCCTTACCCAGATTACTTTTCTTTTTCAGACAAATGGACACCTACCTGGGAATGGAGATGTGTATCAAGAAAGGCTAGCACGTTTAGAAAATGATAAAGAATCTCTCGTTCTTCAGGCAAGTGATTTTTAAATGCTGTTCTTTCCTCATGACATACTTACAAAGACCATTTTAAATTGGGAGAGCAAATTCAGATGCTTACAGGAGCCAGACTGCTGATAGACATAAGTGCAGTAGGCCATCTGTACACAGTAGGGGGTGGTGAGGACTTGACAGAGCAAGGGTGTGCGAACCCAGCCTGAGGTGAGCAGCCCTTAACAACCTTAGCTTTTCAAGGACCAGTGTGATGACGGCACAAAATGTCATCTGATCTGATTTTCTGATTTGTCACCTGAGCTGATTTTTTAATATGTAGCAAAAATTCCAATTTTATAATATATATATATGGTATATAGCATACATACACACACAAACACAAACATACAACAGAGACTCGAATTGAATAAATACTTTTGAATCTGAATACATACGTATTTAATGTTTTTAAGTTTTTAAAATGATATGATGGACCAAACAAAACACAGCGTGAGTAGTGGAGTCCTGTTTATAGGCTAAATTTGAGTTTTCTTCTTCATGTTAGTTTTTTCCTATGTATGTATTTATTTAAATATAGTTGACATACAATATTATATTAGTTTCAGGTGCACAACATAATGACTCAACATTTATATACTTTACAAAGTGATCACCACGATAAGGCTATAACTGTCTGTCACCGTAAAATGTTATTAAGATGTTATTGACTGTAGTCCCATATGCTGTATACCACATTCCCATGACTTATTTGTTTTATAACTGGAAGTTTGTACTTGTTAATCTGCTTCACTTTTTCACCCATCCCTCACCCTCCTCCCCTCTGGCAACCATCAGTTTGCTGTCTTGAGTCTGTTTCTGTTTTGTTTGTTCGTTTGTTTTGTTTTCATAGATTCAACATATAAGTGAGATCCTATGGTATTTGCCTTTTTCTGTCTAGCTTATCTTACTTAGCATAATACCCTCCAGGTCCATCCATGTTGTTTTCAATGCTTGACAAATATTTTTACTTTGGTATTTTGAGCGAAATAAAGCATATTTACTAGGCTGGTGATCATTGGGGGAAAACTCAGAGATTTGCAATAGGCACTGAGGATGGAGGACTAACCCACTGACTCTTCATGGACCTTTGAGTTACACGTTGGCTTTGAACACATTTGTGGACAGTGGGGTCATGAAGGATATGGAATTTGAATTTTTTGAAAATTTTTTTTTATTCTTCATGAAGTAATAAACTTAAATAGTCCTTGATAACTTCTCTTTCAAACATTAACTCCATTTCCTCTCTTAATATCTAATATTAGCTCCCATCCTCACCTCGCCCCCCAAAAAGATAATTTATATACATGCTCTCTCATAAATGGCTGAAATCGTTTTTTTTTGTTTGTTTGTTTTTTTTAAAGATTTTTTATTGGGGAATTGGGGGGATGGGAACAGTGCTGGGGAATTGGGGGAAGGGGAACAGACAAGTTGCTGTCGTTTTG